TTAGGCACTCTGTGTGAATCGATTCGGAATCTTACGTAAAACTTTTTCAGTGCCGTCCATCGCATCGATGCTGCTGGTTCGTGCGAAGATTTGAGAGGAAATGTATGTTAACTCCAAACCATGCTATTATAAGCAGTTCATAATCTTGTATTATACGAAGAAAAAAATGCACCAAGTCTTCTTAATATAGACCGTTTTACGGTTTAGTTCGCATCATTTGGCAAATGATATATTTAAATAACACTTTTGCTTGCACAATAACAATAAAACCAATAATTCATAAGCAAACACGATAATAACCATAAAAGAAACTTTGAACAAAACGCTATCATGACACGCAATGATAACAAAGGCAATGTGTTCAAAGAAAACAAACTAAACAAAAGTTGTTAGGATAAAGTTTTATATGTTTTATGCTGGCCATAAGAAAACTTAGAATAAGAAAAGCAACTACTTTGAAGCAAGACCATTAAAGAATGGGCGATAAATTAAGAAGATTGTGATGAAGGAAAGAAATGCAGAAATGGAGAAAAATGTATTTTGGAAATAAGAATATTAATATATACGAAATATATTTTGAAAGTGGAACTAAATATATAGATATGTTTATACACGAGGTGGGTTCAAAAATAAAGGTGAGTTTTTATTTTTCTCGAGAAACTCATTGAAGATCTACTTTGTCTATTTCTGTAAAGTAATCGTCCTTTGATATAACACACTTGTGCCGGCGCTTTTGAAATTCTCGAAGCGATTCTGGTATGCTCTTTTTGGTATGTCTTTGAGCTTCGCCCTACCATGGGACTTTTGATTTTTGCGAACAGAAAAAAGTCGTAGTAGGACAAGTGTAGTAAATATGGCGGCTGAAAAATGATTATGATGTGGTTTCTGTCCAAAAAATTACGAACAAACAATGGCGTGTCGCCTTGCTCATCAGAATAAACATCCGAAAAAATTGCATGACATGAGCCATTATTCTCAAATCATCCCAGCGACGTCTTTGGCAACTTCTCCAACAATGACACGGCAATTCTCCATAACAATTGTCTTCAGTGCTTCAACGTTTTCATCGGTTGTTGACGCGTTGAGCGCACACACAATTTAATGCAAAAAAAATGGCCAAGCGCACCAACACACGTTTAACCTGAAAAACAAACTAGTAACGCAAAATGCCTGATAACGTCAGGATATGTTTATACACACACGTACACACGTATTTGAATGTGCAAGTGCACTTAAATCCACTGTTGGAAAAAAACCCATATTATTTTTAGAAAGATCTGACCCTCAAAGGGCAACGAAATCACGGTTTCATGTTATTCCGACCATTTCTTTACGAGATGCACTCGTTTTAGTCACGGTGCTTCCATTATTTTCAAAAGAATGGAAAAATCCGAGTTTTCTGCATTGACCAAACGTTGCTTTTAATGACAAAGCTATCCCTTAAACCAACATGGGCTTGCAAAACATGACCACAGGTCTTCTGTAGAAAACAGAACTTCATCGGTGGTGCTAATTTTAAACGGGGCCATGCCAAAGATGATAACTGTGAAAGCAGCAAATGCTCAAAAGACGTGTTTACGCCGCTACATTAGAAAATTTTTTCACACCGAGGTTTTTAGTCTAACACGTACATAAGTTGCAGGAGATGATTGCAGAAGAAACCATTAAAAAATCTTCAAAATTATTTTCCACAATTGAAACGTAAACTTAGTGTTCCCTAACTTTCGTGAAGATTTGGCCATGGGGATATCGCTTGCGCTCAAGGAAGAACAAAACAAGACGTTTCGCAAATCCTTTAAGGCCGTCTACGTAAAAACTCAGCACAGCAGAAGTCTTCCGGTCGGCGACATAGGTAGTTACTGTCTCAGCTCTGTTCACACATTTGCAGTACAGTACAATAAGCGATCCATCTTTATGGTGACAGGCGAACGCCATATGGTATCCACCCATAGTTAGAGGAAAGCAAAATAAATATTGCAATGAGATGTGCTGGAAACCACTACGTTTTACTATTGCTATTATACAACTTAAAAATTTTTTACAATGCGACAAAGCTTTGAACCCGACCGTATAAAAGGCTTGATTTTCCACTCGATTTACTGATTACATTACTTGTACATAACAATTCGGGTATAACCAACAGCTTTATACCTATCATTTTAAAATAACTAGAGAAAGCGATTTAAGCATGTCCGTCTGTCAGTTCGTGCAATGTCTGTGGTAACCATCGTCCTGACCGCAAAAATGAAGTAAGTTTGGCAGAAACGTTAGAAATTCTTGTACACAGGTCAATATTGAAAATGGGCGAAATCAGCTAAGGAATCCGCCGAGAGCAAAACGTCGCCTGAGAGCCAACTGTCTTCCCGTTAACCTATTGCTAACGCCATTACGATCTCAACTTTAAATGATATTTAGGAAAACAAATTGATTACATGGTTTTCTTTATCACTTTTGTCAGGCGATTATCTCACGAAATTATAAAAAGCACATTATAAAAGAGCCGTGTGGAGTATGTGATGTTTGTGAGGTTGCATGCAACACACACAAAGCCTTAAGACAGTCCCATCTCTTATTTAACCCATCGATTGCAAATTACTTCCTAAATCGAATTAGGATTTTTGTCCGTCTGTCCAGTTTTAGAGGTATTTTAAGAAATTTAGTACAGCGAAATGTTTTTCGCCAATGACAAATTCTATTGAAAATGGCCAGATTCAGACCGAATTTTCGGACACTTCCCATATATGTGCATATTTTACGAATATATGTGTATAAAATGTCATTAAACGAATAGCTATATTAAGCAAGATAGGGAAGGATGATCAGTGGAGCCGTATCCCACTATGGTGTTTTACCCGTTTTAATCTAATTTATTTACACTAATACTCACAAACATTCACAAATCTTATTCACATATATTCTCTCGTTTTCCTATTTTACCTATAAAAATATAAGTATTCAAGTATTCTATATTCACTGTATAGTATTCTGTACAACGTTTTGATTTAGTCAAGGCTTTTTTGGAGAAAGAAGACAATGAATTGCTTAACTTTTTTTTCTGTGAGAATGCTAGACGTTGTCAGAGGTATTCATAATTTTGCTGGCCAACTAAAAAATAATAATAATAACATTTGAGAAAACAAAACATAACAAAAATATACTCTTCTTCACATAACTTCGACGCGACCTAATAATTAAAATAATTGACTGGAAATTATAACAAAATTTTAAACTTTAACAGTCATAAAATTTTTATGATATACAATGGGACGGGTATGTGTATGTTACGTTCCTTTATATGAACAAAGAATTTTCTAAGGACTAACGATTTTTTAAAAAATAAATTCTAAGAATATTTTTATTATACGAAAAAATAAAACACAAAGCGGAAAACGGTGTCTTGTTCCACTTTGGTTTTTGCTGCTTACAGACCATTGAATATTTTTATTTAACGATAAAAACGATGCCAATGTTAGTTACGCTATATTAGGTCTATACTTATATTTATGCGACTACGCAATTTTATATATACATTGGAGAGCAATGCCGGTACATGGATTTTCGCATTTCGCGTTTGCAGCGCACTTCACTTCAGGATTTCCTCAAAGTAAAATGCGGTCCGAAGTGTTCTTAATTAACTATCTTCGATCGTTCGGACTTTTATTGTTTTATTGTAAAGTCGCACGAGGGCTTAAAGTTACAGAAATTATTGGTAGTCTGAGCACATTTTCCCAAAAAAACGAGAGCAATGGCAAGAACTTGCAACAGTCGATGTAGCAGAAGACTTATCAAGCAGAACAACCATCAATAAGCTCGTAGTTAACAAAAAAGTTTTGCGATTCTTAAATATGCTTGGCATAGCGAGTGCTCGCAATTCGCCACAAGGCCAGCATAACCTTCTATTATTTAAGTTCATACTTTTTTATTTCGCTCTTAATACGGTCTGCTTGCTGTGATCACACACAAGCCTTTAAAACAAATGTTTTTTCCTTATGTGACCGGTTTGGCACGTTGCTTTCTCAGCTAATTTAAAATCGTTTAAGATTCGCACTAATTTTATAAGTTTTATGACCGACTAACTGAGTTTATTTAGCGACCCGCATGAATACCAAAACAGTGGCGTTTTTTCTTCTGTTCTTTTTGTTTGCTTTTAAAACTTCACAGATCGACGGTCTTCCGCACATAGTGTGCGTACGTTTAAAGGAAATGGTTTTTTTTTTTTGTTTTTGTTGCTACAAGTGTTCCTTTAAAAAATTACTTTCCATTTTACTGATTTAATTAATTGTTCCATATAAGTTTAATGTTGCTTAACGCAACGTCGAATTTATTCAATTTCCAGCAATTGGAAATTGTTTTTTTAACGTTATTTTAAAAAGTTTTTCAAAAATAAATAAGTAAAACTACTATAATGAGCCAAAGCCCACCATTAAACACCCTACATCGCAGTTATTCATAAAACAACTTTTGCGACTGACGCAATGTATGGGAAGAGTGCGAAAAAGCGATCCGATCCGAACTATGCTCGTCTTCGTGAGAAATTTTTATGTGTATAAAATTTTGTCAAATTTGTTAAAAATTCCGATCTGTAAATTGAACTAAAGAAAACAAGAGGGGCAAACGTGCAAACCGACCGAGATCGAGATCGATTCAGAAAGTGAGTCCGTATCGATTAGTATAATAAAAAAATGAGTCGATCTCAAATCTTGCTGGATATTGGATATGCCCGTACAATACCTTTGTAGCGCAGTTGTATAATAAAATTAATTATTCTTTTAAAAAATGTATTTTTATTATTCAAGTTTCAAATAATGTACCATAAGAAAATGTTGTTAATTCTGCTTGCGCAAAATTTCAATCGGAGAGAAGAAACAAACTCCCTTGGATGATTTTGCCTGGAATGGATGACGTTGCAGCTAACTTGGAAGATGTAGGCAGTCAACAACAGACGTACATTCGTTAGGCGTTAAATATGAATTCGAAAATGGAGCGCATTTGCCTTTCTCTTAACGCATTACCAATAAGGAATTAAGTGATTTTTCATTTAATGTATTGGTGGGCAAGCAAAACACTTCACGCAAACGACGCGTAATATTTAAATGCTGTTCATTGCTAACAACTTCGGCTGGCGGAAGAAATTCATAACGCAAAGCACCGCGATAATCGTGAGCATTACTTTGGTTGTAAGCGAATTTTCAGGTGGTTTTTTTGAGTATCTTTGAAATAATCGAGATTTGATGCTTTTGAAACACAAAACTTCTGTCGAAGTAGTTTGAAGTGAACCAAATGAAGCGCCCTAGGCATCATTGAATCGTGGATTCCCTTGCATTGGGTTGGTCGGTAGAGGTTAATGATTATTCAGAGTACTGATCACCTCTAGCTTGTTTTCATCCTCGTTTGAAGTCTTTGTATCGCATGTCAGTTTTTGTTTTGCGACATAATTTTATCACTAACGGGCTTTTGTAACGCCTTCAATGTTTCCGCGGTAGAGCATTTCTTCCGCAAACATAACTTAATTCATATTGTTTCCTCGGCAAAATTGAATATAGTAAAAATCAAAAAACTCATTGTTGTCTAAACAAGCATAACTCTGCAGCAATTGCTACCAGAAAGAAAATTCATGAGCCATAATATGAAGTTAAATAAAAAATTCACTTATTTTTCGTCCACAGTAAAGTACACAGCTGGATCTTACAAAATCTTTCACTTACAATTATTATGAAAACAAAACTATCAAAAAAAAGGGCAAAGAAAGCTAACCTGCCTGTTCTTGTCCAGAATGGTTTTCCAATACTCTCTTAAGGGACATCGTTGCTAACGATGACACTTTGTTCAAGGGACTTTTGCTTCATAGTTCAGCATAATGAATATTTATTTATTTATTCATTACGCAGCTACCAACAGCTTTCAACAACTAGCTATGAAAACAGATTATGATTATTTAAGACATTTATAAGAGCACTTAAATTTTTTTCATGAAAACACTATTATGGTCTGATGCTTTGCTGGCAATTTGCACAATACTTTTCGACCAAATATGACTTAAGGAATGTTTGCCAACTAGCAAGTCTCGTAAATACCAAACTAAGCAGTATGACTGAAGACTACGACATCAAACCCAACATACATTATCAGCCAGGTTTGCTGCTTCGATGGACTACACTGCCATGTTTGCACGAATCCATGTGAGAATGACTCTGTCATTGAGACACATAAGGTATAATTAAATGTAATTAAACTAACTATAAAGTGTTAAGTACTTAAAGCAACAGACAATAGCTACTAACTGAATTGTAGAAAACTTGCACTGGTATTGTTTTATAAAGACAAAAATAGCAGCAACAGAATTTAAGGATGCCTCTCTTAAGCGCTTCGTACAAATGAAAGAGGAGAAAAAAGAAGAAGCTGTGAATAATAAATGAAAAATTCTTCAAAGATCTTCACAAATGATTGCTTGTCACAAAAGCAAAAGCAGAGTTAAATGAAATTATTTCGTTTGGTATTGCGGTTTACTGACGATGATTGATATTAAGTGCAATTTCGTTGCATAAGAGTCTGCTGGCTACTGCGACTCTGTTTAGAGATCGTGACGGTAACGCAGTTATGTAACTTTTTCTCCTTACTTAAGCGCAGCTGCTTTTAAGTAGCCGTACGATTATAACCGTAAGCTGAAATACACATTTAGAAATATACAAATCGTTTACCAATTGTAAAAATGTCATCGAGATAGACCGAATTATAGTTCAAGGTCGAGTTATTAAGAAATTGTATTGAAAATATTTTCCTTCTTTTGAAATGATCGCGAACTTGAGTTGCGATTAGATTTGGTGCTGTAAATAAGCAAAGGAGCTCTCTGTCGATAATATCTAAAACTCGCAACAGCCGGCATTTTGTTTCTTGTTTTAAATACTCCGGACTCCGAAAAATGAACTTGGGTAGTTCAAATTATCATCTCAGACCAATTTCTGCCATATATAACAGATGGTACAATATATTTCAAATTTTTTTTATGTATCGACCTTTTGTAAGTATGATGTTTTATGGGCTGTGATTGTAAGGGTGATCTAATCTAAGCTAATTTCACTAGAGTTCGTTCTTAGCGAAAAGCGCCCGAATATTTAGCAAAACTCTTGCTGTTAAAGGCTTCAATTGCGCAGTTATCGAGAAGATCATAGATCAAACGCACAACAAAACTCAAAGGAACCAGTTACAGTTCTCACACAGTTTTCTTTTACCATAGCTTTTGGGCTCTAAGTGTTAACAAGTGAACTTATCTCTAATGTTTTAAACTATGGCAATATAGCAAAGAATGTCTATCTGAAATAAGCAGCAACGATAAAGCAAATAGTATACAACATTTCAGGCTTACAATAAATAATCAAAGGTGAGCATAAGTCTAAGTGACTATATGTATGCCTTCTTACGAACTGGCTCGCATACAGCAGTTAAAAGAGAACGTTTTAAGTAATTTCGTTTCTATATAAGAAAAAATATTTCGTTTTTCTTCTAACTAATACGATTACCGCGTACTAATCCATCTTGATCATAAATCCCATAAATCCATTTTCTCTGCACAGAGCCTTGCAAATGTTTCTACACTTTTTTATGGGAATATTTTTGGCAAGCTTGTCGCTATCATTTGAATTACATGAAGAGCAATTGTCTGGTCTCCTCCTTAGTTTTTCTTAAAAACCTGTAGACACGTTTGTTGATAGGCCGTGCCGTGATGGCTCGATTCAACCAAATGGAAAAGCTACCAACAACATCCGATGCAATAGGACCAAAAAGAACAATATAGAAAAAATTATGGGATCGGGACGATATACAATCTCATGTAGCTACACTCGCTCACTAAATGTTAACAGTTCTATTCCAAACTCTCCGCTGTTATCAGCAGGTACAAGTGGCAAGGGATGGTTTAATGTTTGCTCGAACGGTGGTTCGAGACCAATCTTTGTATTCAAAAGCTAGGATTTCTTCAGAGAGAAAATCGATAATTTGCCTAAACTACGGAAGAAAGCCGTAGCTATAGATGGAACATACTTTCAATAAACATTCCTCATTTTAGCAAAAGATCGCGTTGTCATATGCACACACCCAACAGCAATCTGTTAAACAATTGAAATCATTGCTTACTTTATGTACTAGCTTCGATGGACATACACGTTAATGCCTTGTTTAAGTTTAACTGACAGATAATTTGTCATCCGTTGTAACGCAACAACATTACATTTTAAATAGAATTAGCCATGTCTAACTGTGTCTACCCGCGACTGGATGTAACAATACAAAACATTGACTTACGGTTGCAAATATTAGTCTTAGTGTACTGAGTTGTAAGGGAACGCATTACTTAAATTGAAAGAGATGAAGTGAACAAGAAAGTTGCGGTGTGTGTCATTACGTTTCTAGCATATAATCAGAAACACTTATGCCCCTTAAAGATTTCCTGGCTTACAAAATACTCGACGCGTGCTTAAATAGAAGATTTCATTAAATTGATTTGAATATTGCAAAACTTACAACTGCGGACTTTAAAGTGCTGCTGACACGTGTGTAAAATAAGCAATTGCTCAAAGTCTCAAGGGCTCGCAGAAAATTGCGTTATTTTGCGATTTTTGTAAAGGAATAAATAATCAAAGCATTGTTTGCTTTTATTAGCTAAGCCTTTCACCAGCGTAAAACAAGTCATCTTACAGTACACAGAATATTCCGAGCTTATGAAGGGAATGTCGAACACTCGTTGCTGAAGCCTACAAACAAATATTTAATTTCTTCAACAATAATAATTTATTCATTCAATCAGACGTTCACAATTTCGCTTTGTCATTCATGTTATACGCACGATTGTGTTAATTAATAATTCGCAGATTATCGTATGTTCATCACCTTTTATAAAAAGTAGTTATTTTCACAAAAGAAAAGGGTATAACTATCAACTTTTAATTCCAGGATAGTGTACAAATAGTAGCCCGCAATAATTTATGTGAATAACTATACTCCGACGCTTGAGTTAAATTTCCGCAAAACGTCTAAAGACTTGTGACCCGGCTACATGATGTGTGCCAACCGATCTTAAAACGAGGTAGCTCTACGTTGCCATGGGCATAATCTAAAAGTAGTAACACGACTTAGGTTAGCATTAGGAATCAATCAAGAATAGAACATTTTGAATTGAGGAAAGATAGATCATTTTGTAGAGATTGTTACAGGGAAAGAGATTGCAATTTCCCAAATTCCCCCCAAAAACTGCTGAGTAAAAGATTTGGCACATAAAACTGAAGTGAAACATCGGACGGATCAAATTTTTTAATTCTCTTTTTTATATACGAAAGTCGGCCTTTGTGTAGCAAATGGGTCTAAATTTCAAAATTCGTCGCGGAAATTTTATGAAAATTAATTCATAAAAATTTTACTGAGCCAAACAATTAATGGTACAATCCCATATAAGGGCTTCATATGTCATGGAAAGTAAGCTTTCAAATGGTAAGGAAATCTAATTGTGAGTACTTTATGACGAAAGTAGGCAAAGAGCAATAAGGGCGTTGAGAGGAAGATTAGTTTTGCTAAATTCAATTCTGAGCCCTCTCTATAAAGCCTCCCGTGAAAGTTAAACTTTTACATCGATACAAGATGTAAGTAATTTCAGCAAATATTTCACAAATGGTTTTCTGCAAAGGGACGTAAAGTATTTACTGGTTAAAGCTATGTCCGATTATAATGTTCATGTGAAATTCAAACTCAAACTGGTCTCCGAATTTGCGTAGTATATATGAGCAGTCGGAAGTCCGAAGTTTTTTTCACTATATATATACAAAATTGTCGAAGGCTAAATTATTTTTAGCATGATACCTGAACGAAAACGGCAATGACCTGAGAAATGAATAGTGCCAATCATCATACAAAAAGCCAAAAAAAAAAAAAAGAAATTGTTTACATCAGCATCTCAACATAACGAGGTTAATTTCTTAGCGAAAAACAACGGGATAAATAACAACGTCTTCTGAATCAGAAAGCCCATGAATGATGAATAAATGATGCTTCATCTGCCTTAAAACTAATGCTCTACAGTTTTATGTTTTTCTAATTCTCTGCCAAGTAGTCATTTTGATAGCTAATCTGTAACAATTGCACATATGAGATAATATCAACCACATAAACAACCTTACATACGCACGCGCGCGCTTAGTGAAACTACATAAGCCCCAACTAGCGGCTAAATCAATTTATGTACACAAATCAAATTATGTACACTCGAGGAAGTAGTTAAAGGATTTGGTCAAACCGATAAAGTTTTGCTGCAATCTGATCTGTTATCTCCTTCAGCCGCACATTGTTAGCTATTTTAAATAGATTTTTGATAGTTTATTTTAAATTTATCTACTATCCCAGTAACCTCCTAATTGCTATCAAGTCTACTAATTTAGTGTTTGCCTATCCCTAAATCTTAACAACTATATATGCTTAAGAGTATTGAAATTGCTAATAAGTTTAAGATAGTCTCTCGTAGTTAGTGGAACTCGACAGTTGGAATGTGGTGCTTGAGTCTTTGTCCTAGCCAAATAAATGGCCCTTAGATATCCTACGAGGGAACGGAAGAAACCCCTCTGACTCATGCAATCGCCCTTAGAAACTCTAATTTGAAGAAATAACTTTGCGAATTGAATTTAGATCTACTTTTATTTCAAACGCATATTTTTTGCATTTGGTAAATATTTTAGTGAATAGTAGAACGCTCATATGTCTTCATTTTCGGCCATTGAGTTACGAATTAATTTATACTAAAAAAAGTGCTTTGGTTTTTTCACAAAAAGAAGTAATAAAAAAATGTAGAAAAATTTTTCAAAAAGCAAGCTACATCCTGTTTTGTTCACGCTGTATTCGGGTACCATAAGCGCGGGAAACCAGATTCCAAGAATCTATAAACCGATCCATGCACATGGAAATGCATTTCTGTTCAGAGGAATTTAATTGGGCACCTGGTCTAGTGATACATTTGCAAAAGCACTTTTCCGTCATCTTGGTTAGAAGTTCTTGTGCATTAGCTGCTGCAAGCTGCTGTTTCACTTCTTCTATTATTTCTTCTTTTTCGCTGTTCGTTGAAGTCATTAGGTCCGACATTTTGTAGAAATGAAATTTTAGACTAAATTTCCCAAATTTTTTTTTTATGATTAATTTATTAAAGAGAATAATTTTCTTACAGAAAACCAAAGAAAATAAATATTTTTTTCGATATTGTTAATTATTGTTAATATTTTTATTAGCTGACAATTTTTTTTTTTTTTTTTTTTTTTTGTAACATTAAACGTAATCTAATTTGGCTTTTAATTGTTTTCAAATATTTCGAAAAATTTCATATATATTCATGTAGAATTGAAATATATACAGGGTGTCCCAAACTTTGTACAAATAAATATTATTGTAATTATTTTTTTAGGCAGAGAAATAAATTCTAAGGCCAAAGTCTTTCCGCTGCTTAAAGAGGAAACAAATTTTTTTTTTTTAATTGTAATCTTTTTATTGAATCGCAATATATATAAATAAAATAGGGTTATGAGTGGAATAGCAAATCTGGCAGATGGTCTCCACGGACCACGAAAAGACGGAGTACTAGACTAGGGAATGTCGCATGAAGTAATTGAATTGTTTCACGGGATATGTGGCATGTGACACAGTCTTATTGAAATCACATTTCGCTCACACCAATTTTGCGGACCCGCTTGCCAGCCAAGCCATACTGCACTGATCTGAACAAGTGGTAATCATCAGACGTCATGTCTGGTAAGCGCGCTGGCTGTGGCAGCAGTTCCTTTACGAGCTGCAACAGCTGGACAACTCTTGCAACAAGTACCGCCACTTTTAAACCGTTGCATCCACAACCGACAATTGGGATATGATGGAGCAGCATTACCATAAGCCTCTGATCGGGCTTTCGAGCATATTTTGAGAACATATTTTTTGAAATAAATACATAACAAAAGTGATGGACTCGGAAGAAAAAGAATTTTGAGCGAAATTATTATTTTATATATCGAACTCAACCGTTATGTATATTGGTATTTCCCATTTCTTTATCATTCACGCCTGTGGAAGTCGCTGATCAAAATTTTTGCAAATACCTGTTATTAGGGTCGAGTTTTAACATGAATATACTGTGGTGTGGCAGTCAAGCTTCAGTTTTGTAAATTTTAGGTCTTTCATTGTTCAAATTTAACATCGAAATGTCGGTCTTACAAATAGGATTTAAGTAGGAAAACTGTTGTAATAATAATTAAGAATTTTAAACCGTTGTTACACGCCAATAATAATGCATTAGCGGTACTATGCATTATACATTATGGACGACCTTTTTGCTAATTGAAGACAGAAAGTATAGCAAATTGTTCAGCTGCGTGAATTAATCCCAACATAAAGCGAGTTTTTCATTTCCCTTTCAAAGGTGTTGCATCAAATTTCGAAAATATAATAAAGAAAATATCTTGAATTACTTTGATATGTTGATAGCAAATTATATCACGGAGAAGCAATCTACACGCTGCAGCAAAATGTTTCAATGCCAAAAAAAACAGATTTTAAATACAGCAATTGTTTCACATATGCGCTTGATCGATTTAATGTGAAGATTAAAGCTAGAGGATATTGCGTAAATAATTCTAAGTAAACAAACATAATATTAGTTTGGGGAAAAAGAAATCCATTATTTTTATATGAACTTCAAGACTTTATTTAACGTGCTTCGGATTGTCCGATTTGGGTCAAATATGCACCGTTTTGTTGTATGATTTGTTGCCATTTTAAAGGTAACTTCAAAATGCCTCTCTCATAGAAGTCCTGGTCTCTATTTGCAAAAAACTCTAGTAGTCGATTTTCACAATCCTCCCTAGATTCCAATTTTTTATCATTAAAGAAATTTTGCAATGCAAGAAGAAGATGATAATCGCTTGGTGCCAAGTCCGGACTGTATGGCGGATGCATTAAAACTTCCCAACCAAGCTCCCGAAGTTTCTGGCGAGTCACTTTAGATGTGTGTGGCCTAGCGTTGTCCTGGTGGAACACGACACCTCTCCTGTTGGCCAATTCTGGCCGTTTCTGGTCAATCGCTATCTTCAAACGGTCCAGTTGTTGACAGTAGAGGTCAGAATTTAGCGTTTGGCCATATGGAAGCAACTCATAATAAATAATCCCCTTCCAGTCGCACCAAATGCATAGCAAAACCTTCCTGGCCGTTTGAGGTGCTTCACGGCTCTTTGACCACGATCGTTTTCGCACAGGGTTATCGTATGTGATCCATTTCTCATCCCCAGTCACCATCCGTTTAAGAAATGGGTCTATCTCATTCCGTTTGGCCAAGGCTTCGCAGATGGAAATTTGATCCATCATGTTTTTTTCTGTTAATTGGTGTAGCACCCAAACATCGAGCCTGTTTTTGAATCCAGCTTTGTGTAAATGGTTTAAAACTGTTTTATGGTCGATTTTTAGCTTCTGGGCGATGTTACGACTGCTAACATGCCGGTCAACTTCGATCATTTCTCCGATTCGATATCGACATTTTCGACGACCGGCCTACCTGTGCGAGGTGCATCTTTAACATCAAAAATTCCTGAACGGAGTCTACGAAACCAAAATTGCACATAATTGGCTGTTACAGTATCGGAACCATAAACACCATTCACAATTTTAGCCGCCTGGCTTGCATTTTCGCCTTTGTCAAAGAAAAACTGTAAAATGTACCGAATTTTCTCTTTGTTCACTTCCATTATTAACACGCTGTAACTCACAACTGAATGCACCAAACAAAAAACAGCAAAAGAATTTTTTTTACTGCGAAATGTACGGTATGTAAATGTACAGTATCGGAAATTGTTTGATCGATACTTTGCGAGAAATCTATCAGTGCAGCCATCTGCCGAAAAAATAATGGATTTCTTTTTCCCCAAACTAATATATTTCTGTTATATGCATTATGCCAAGAAATATGAGAAGGATTGCTTTATCGCTCGGACTACAACATCCTGCGTGAAATGGTTGCGAAGATTTAGATTCACGTCATTAATTGAAAAGAAGGACAATTAAAAATAGCACAAGATATAGATTTACATGAAACCAACCGAAAAACCTGAGTTTTTTCAAAACAATTGTAATTTTCCCGCTTTGCGGTTCATTTATTTCCTCCCAAATTGGAAATTGTGCCATATCTGTTGATGCATTTAACTAACCTGCTAGTTTTACTAAAAACTTAGTCTGCTGAATTTTCCAATTTTTTTATCTTTACCCCACTTTAACCCCATGCACATCAATAATTAGCTGCAGTAAATGTAGGAAAATTCGTTCAAGGCTCGCAATTATCTTAATGATAGGTTGTTTCCATATCCGCCCAGCGGCAGACAAATCGACAAATCGACGACTCCTACGATCGTTGAGAGATTAAATTTATCAAATTCGACCATTCATTTAATCAAGAAATGACGTAGCTCCCTCAGTTTGACCCAAGAAAAAAAAAAGATATTAGTTTTCGAACCACCTAATAATTAGCGATTGTACAGAATGTAAAAGATATATAAAAGAAAATTAAAAATCTTTTTTGCAAAATTTTTCTTTTACACAATCCCTTAGTTTTTTATGAACAATTTTTGTATGTATATCTTTGGAGTTGTGCTTAAAGTTTTTATGTTATATTTTTAAAGAGAGAAGAAAATGGGCCTTAAGCTAATAAATCTTTTTATAACAAAAAAGAAATTAAAGCTGAGACATGAATTAAATTAAATATTGCTTAGATCGAAATTTTTGATCAGTTGTTTATAGGTTTTGGTGTAAAGAAGAAGATTTTTTCGCTACGAATAAAACATAGCATTGCAAATGATAGGTGACCGTATACGTAAACACTGTCAACTTTAAAGTAATCTATATAGTGAATAAATAGTTGCATGCATAAAATGTGGGCGTACGCACGTACAAATAAAGAGGAAATTTTCACTTTATTTCCTCTTTATTTGCCAGAAGACCTTTGAAGTAAGTACTTTCTTGTGCTGCCTGTTACTATGATCACATGAAAATTATCATTAATTATTAGTTCTCGCAATCGCTATTAACTGATAATTATTATTAATTATTTTTATTATAAATTCACCATAGCGTAAAAATGTCACAAACCAAAGGACCACGTTAGAATATTGCCTTTTTTCTTTGGTTGATTTTTTAAATTTTTTCGCATTTCGCATTTCGTCGTACGGAGTATAGACACAATTTTATTTTTACATTACGATTAAGCAGCGCAATGTGTCTTTTACTTATTTTTTGCAAATGGCTTTAATAATAATGCGACGCGGCGAAGAGATCATATTAAATGGGATCGTGTCGTGAAATAATTAACATTTAATGCAAATAAATAAAAAAAAAAAAAAGGAAAAAAATAGAAAGAAATTATTGCGCCAAGTGTTTGCATAGCAGACATATAGTTCACTTCCTATTTTCTCTTTTCGTTTTATTCATTCCAATCTACAGCAAGGCGGTAAGGCAGTGACTGGTAACATTACCAGGGTGTGCATATAAAAACAAATGTTCTATTTTATATCGTTCATTAGAAACTTGTGCGCTTTTATGAGGTGTTAAGTGAGTTTGTAAATGAAGTGTCAAGAGTGCTTGTAAATGAATTTTATTTGAAAGGATATGCATGCAGGTATTTTCTGCGCGAATAAAGTAGCACTCCGCTAGAGAAAAAAATTAAATAAAATATTCTGTCCATGTCTGTTATAAGAAGGCATTCTTATTATGTAAAGTAAAAGGTGGCAGATAACGAATGCATTAAATAAAAAAGACAGAAGGCAATATCTATTTAATGACCTTAACGCACTTGCACTTTGTCCAAGAAGATCAAATGTTTTTTTACGATATTATATATCTGCACACATTACATATATGTATGAAGATTGCGTTGACAAAAGTTTCTTCAAAAGAACGAACCTGATCTCAACATTTTTCCAATCCATCTCGTCAGCTTAACCCCGAAAGTCCGCCAAATCAGAGCTACGTGGGAAAAACTATTAAAAAACATAAAAGCCGGGCGTTTACATTATTGCTTCACATCCACTTCATTTTCCTTTAAAAAGCATTTAAATAATTTTCCTTTTTTTGTGATATTTTTCTTATTTGATAAATTCCCGTGAAGTTCCATTCATAATAGATCCATCCTCAGCATCCTCAAAATTCGTATGCTTTCATTCAATACCATTTAAGCTGCGTCTCTCAATTTGAATAAATAAACTCATTCATAATTTATATTCAGTTGCCTTTGTGATGAAAAAATTGGCAAACACCGCTTGTAATATTACGCGATGAACTTAGACGAAAGTTTGATAGTTATTAACAGGGATTTATCTTCCATTGCTACCATTATCATCCCAGACAAATTTTTTAATTTTGATTCTTTCCTATTTCTACATTCAACAATAATAATATGTTTCCCATAGTCAGCAAGTTTAATGGTTAAGGGATGTAGGCATGTATCTTTGCCTTACACTATTTGTGGACCAAAGTTTGTGCGGATTTATACAACACCTAAAAACCCTTGAGGTTATTATCGAATTGAGCAATGTTAATCTGCCCGCCTTGATTTCTTGTATTCAACCTAAAGGCCGTAAATTTTGAAATAATTTGATTAAATGTGCGCTGAAGTGTTTTCACCGAAGAAAGAGCCATATTGAAAATGGTTCTGATCGGACCACTTTCTCGACTAATTCCCACAAAATGATCTTTCAAAAAATTTGCAATTTCCAAAATTGCTTAATGTAAGATCTCTCAACGTCTCTCGTCTAGTAATTTATTAACAGAAAGCAAAATGAAACGCATTACAGTATACGCGTTGGCCTATCGGAACTATACTATACCGTACTAATCCTACCAAACTGGATTTTTTTTCTTTTCTCCCCTACTAGAGTAGTTAACTCTCTTACCCGTGAGGAAAATTATTTGTTTTCCTCATTAAGAGATTCATAAAGAAAAGAATAATAATATCACTGTAGTCATCCGAATCTGAAGTCTCGTATTTGCTTCATTAATTAAAAATTATCTTGGGACGAATAGAGGGGATAACTCTGACCATAATTGCAGGTCTGAACAATCCTCTACTCCATTGCCATATTCTCGATTGTGATGATGTTTTTTCCTCATTTGCTTGTCATTAATGTAATTTTTCCGTCATTTTTTAACTTTATCCAAGTCGAATAAGAAACGCATTAAAAAACAGTCCATGTTTGAATAGAGAAAATTGTTAATCTGAAGTGAATGTTGTTGTTTTTTGTTTTCGCTTTTGTTATTTGTATTGAAACGTGCCACGCGACTTTCTTGTTGAAGATTAATATAAAAAATACAATAAATTGTTAAGTTGCAAACGCCGGAGTTAATGGGAAATGAATGTAAGGCTAAAAATAAAAAAAAGAAAGAAACCGTGAAAAGAAAGAGCAGTAAAAAGCTTCACGTTAACATACTTCTCAAAAGTTATTCAAAACGAAGTGGAAAATGATTAATCGAAAAATCAAGTTCTATATTTTTCAATAGACTACCCTTCTGCCAAATTCAAAGTAAAAGATGTTTCCGACACTTATCGTCGATAGCTAATTTCCTTGTTCGATTTGTAACAGTGGAAAACACGCATTTGAAATATCACCAAAACAAATATATTATTGACAACAATTTATGTTATTGACGGGAAAGAAATATTTGCCATGCAGAAATCCTTCGCTATAAAAATAAATAATAAAAAATAAACAATAAAATAAAACAACATTTACTCTATTTTCCATCGAAAATTGTGATAAAGTCCATTCATAGTAACTACAGCTGCCTACGCGAACTGATCAGAGGACGTATAGTTGCAATTATCAAGCTGAAATCTATTATTCCGCGACCATTAATGCAGGAATTTGTCTTCTCACTTCCAACATGTATAGCAGAGTCAATGGAAGTATTAAGTAATAATGTATTTGATATATGCAGTTGGAACTAGGCAATCAAATATTACACCATCGAGAATATAGGGAATGGGATACAATTTCATACTGTTTGGCTCATGTACTTGCTATCTTTCCTTAACATACTGATTCTATTAATAAAATTTAAAAAAAAAAAATCCGTTATAATAATGCATATAGTCACAAATTGCAAATTGTGGTGTATAATAAACTGTTCTGTCATGTTGGGTAACATATACTGATGACTACTTAGATAGTTAAATAGGCGCCAGAAGGTTGGAGATGAATTGTTTTTTTACATTGGTATTATTATTATTTTACATCTTTCTTTTTTCAGCTTAAAGTTTAAATTATACTTTTTTTTGAAGTTTCTTCATGTTCTGGTACCGCCTAAGAGTACCTATTACAGACAGTGCTTTACTATGAAAGAATTAAAGAAAGAAGTTTGTGTGTGTTGCGCTTTAATTTATTTCCTAATAAATCATATTTTTCGTTTCGATTTTCAAAAGCAAACAAATGCTTATTAGCGTGCAATCTAAGTAAAAAAATCCATTTCGTGTTGCCGTTAATTGGTCATGTAGCAGCTGGTCTATCATCAGGATTGCAATTGTAGATCACTTCCAGTTGTAGCGAAATTTCGAAAAAAATGTTGCTGAAAATATTCAAAAATTTTCAATACTTTCGGTTTTTTCGTCAGTGTGGCCACAAGCGTGTAAGCAATCAGCCGATTGCGGAACTTTGGTTATATTTATGTTTTTACATCGTTAGACTTTGAGTGCAAGCGTCGGATTGTAAAAAGTCGAAGGATGTTATGCAGGGACAAAATGCGAAGTTCGCGTATGTTCCTAGCGAGATATAGTAGCGCAGACCAGTTTTTAACCTAGCCGTGAATGGTGTGTCACATAATGGAAACAACTTCAATATATGACAACAATTTCTTATAGCGAAGTGGCGTAAAATTAAAGCGTTAGTTAGTAGTTGTTTAAACCATGGCGTGTTTTATTCGATAATATTTTACATACCCTCCGAAGATAAAAGAACTTAATTACAAACAAATTAATTGCTGCTTATAATATAGGTAAATTTCGATTCAATTCTAAGCTTATATTAATTGCAACATTTTTGTATTTTACGACTTTTATATTAGTAGCTCCGAAAACGCAATCAGAATTGACTACAGTATGAAGATTATTCTGATGTTTAAAGTATTCTTTGTAGTTCCATTAATAAATGAAATGAAAGGAATGGTCTACAGGCATGAGCAGGTCAGGATTAAATATATTTACAAGTAAGAAAAACTTATTGCTGTGCTTTACAGAAAACTTGGACAATGGAACCTCTTAATGTTGAATGGAATATAACTGATGACGAATTAGTTAAAGTCGATGTGAAACTTCAACGTATTAATCGTACAATTGTCGCTTTCGATGGTACCATAGAACTCCTTTATGAACTCGACGAATACACGATGGTAAAGTATTGTCCAGTTTAAAAACAAAGTTATATTTACGTTAACATATGGGAAGATGTGCTTAATATATTTGATTGCTATCTCCAAATGGAACGTGTACGCAATCATTTTTTCATTTATCGTAAATTTATATTTTCGCCAAATTGCAGATGGAATCAGCCATATACCGTAGTGCTACTGGAAGTATAAATAGTTATCAGCGACTTCCCTATCGTCTCCCAAGGAACAAAGTATATGATATTCTGGATCAGTACAAAGACGAAATTTCGAAAAATCTTAGAAACTGTTCAAATTTTCCATTACTTGAAACGCACTCGCGTGATTATAAATTTCGTGAATTATATCGTTTCGATAGATGTACTTATTCTACTGATATACTGCCGAATTATCTACTGGAAGGATATTACAAGGCGATAGTGGAGTTAACTGGTGAAACGAATTGGTCCTTAACATTTTTAGTTCGAATCGAGCCTATATAGAAATAAGAGTGAAAATTCAAGTTGCAGAGTTTTCCTCAAACATGCGCACATAAATTTGTTTTCAACTTGATTTCATTTTAATATTTGGGCGCGAGAGTATCCATTTAACAGAACGAATTAAATCAAATACTACCAAAACGTGTCACGTTTTTGGCTTTTTTATGTAATCACAGCTCATCTTAGCTATTATTCTTACCCATTAAATTTTTACTAGAACTGCAGTTGGTTGAAAGTTTGATTTGAATTCAAATAAATTTACCAACATTTAATTTGCAGTAAAACTAAAACCTTTTCCTTTATTCTTTGATTCTTAATGAATGAATATAACACCAATAGCGAAAATAATCGAAGCAATAGAACTGTAAGGAGACTATCGTTCACAGGAACGTTTATGTGGCTTGGCAACAGTATCTAAATAATTATTAACGAACTTCGTGCGTGCTCTCACGTCCCTCAAGAACATTATATATTAGCGCGACGTGTCTCAAAAGCAATGCCTTTCGCGTAGGTCGCCCAGATCGGAAATTCGATTGTATTTTTCGCCACATTTACGCAAACGCATTGCAGAAACTGAGTGCAGTATGTTCACACACGTCCTGCCCTCCGGCAGGTGTAGTATTCCTGGACCCGTGTGCATCGTTTTTGCGTAAAGGTGCATACGTTCACAATACGCATGTACGTAGTTTTCTGTATTCAAGGATTGTATCCAGATAATGGCTGCAGGCAATAACCAGCGAAACATATTTCAGTAGCATTGCTTTTCGCATTGAATCCTTCTCTAAATCGAAGTTTTTATAAGCAAACTGGGAGCAGAAGAATGTCCGCACACGTCTCTCCTCCGACACTCCTACTATAGATATTTGTAGCGGCTGCAAGTATACTAAATACTTTAAATATTTGTATTAATATATTAATATACTAAATTCAAGATGCGATAATTACAATAGCGTGTAGTAGCGTGTGTACGTATTCCTTGCTCGAACTTCTCAGATCCATCTACATATTTTCGAATGTATTTTAATTAAAGCTGCACACATTCGCAGCTTCTACGTTGCGTTTGACGAGTTCTCGGTAATAGTTGCGACTGTGGAGAACTTGATGATGATAAAATTTATATAATTTATATAATTTATATAATGAAACGTCCTACCATACACACTACGAGAACGGACAGAGGTTCGGATTGGGCAGAGAGACATTCTCAAATCCACACAGAATTTGATAAAAAATATACATCTCTCTGCAGCTTCTGCCCTGGATGTTGCAAACGTTTTGACAAAATATTCCTTTTTAATCATGGGTATAATAAACGAATCTCCAAAAATTTGCAAATTTAACCGGAATATGATGCCTAATTGTAGTAGCGATCATTGATAAGCTATTACGTGACTAATTAATATCAAAATGAAATGTATTAATAGGCTTTGATTGCACGCTCTAACAATTATTAAGCATTTGTTTATTGTTGTTTTTCCGCTAGAAAAATGTTAAAATTAAAAATAATTTTTAAGAACAAATTAGCAGGCAATAAACACATGCTATCTTCTCGTCAACTCTTTCATAGCAATTCACAAACAAAATTTCCATAACATATGCTTTTAGATGGCCCTGGTAAATATTTACCAGTGTTCAAAAGGCAAAGGATTGTTATTACCCATCTCCCTTAAAACAACTTGCATTATCTGATTAATGAAATTTTTGGCAAACTCACTGTTGGAGCTAGTGGGTGTCAAATAACACCTGCGAAGCGAATATCATTTTCTTATTTGTTTTTATTCATTTATTATAGCTTCATTTCTCCGCTTCTATGGCTAATGTCTCCTATTCCTCCTTCTGACACGGAAAGGGCAAGAAATGAGTAAGGAAACAAAAAAAGATAAGGAAGTTGGCCACAAACTAGTAGACATGTGTTCAATCGATAATTCTTAAGCCTTTGCCGACGGGGCACTCACTATAGCTGCGATCGGCGTCAGCTCGACCATTTTTGAAATTTGAACCGAGAACACTGACTTGGTAATCGCGATTCTTTCCGCTTCGGCTACTTATGCCGACGGCTTTAAAGACAGGAGGAAAGTGAACGGACCATCATCTTTTGTTACGCCAATCGTGCAATTGATAAAATAAGGCTGCAAAAAAATATCTAATTATCTCGAAAACGAAATTCCTTAAAGTATTGAAAGCAAGCAAAAGCTGGCAATTCTTTATTTGTCGACACCAGGTTTTAAATTAGAAATTTCTTCGGAAGCCGCCTTTTCAAAAGCCGGACATTTGCAACTGCATCTGCTTCATGCTTCAGTTATATAAAAATCTTTGATGTATAATTCGCCGAACTTAAGTTGCAGTTAAATTGCGGAAGAGAACACACACGTTTCGATAGCACGTTACTTCTGAAACTAGCTTGCAAAGCTATTGTAAGAGAAGCTAGTAGTTCGTACAAAATTTTATCTAAGCTATAACTAATTTTTTTTGGGACTTTTGTTGCCCTATGCCAAATTATATACTAACGAGTGATGATCTTACAGAAGCAATAAATTCTAGGAATGTTTTCATTATACTAAAGAAGGATGAGATTCCTTTTTGCTATTACTGCACCGCCGCTTGTCTTCTGTTTTGTTTTTTCGGCCGTTAAATATAACCGTTTTATGACGCTTATGATGATTTCATAACGAAAACTATAAAATAAAAACGGGTAACATTCGGTTGGTATATGCTTGGCATGTTTTATTGCGGAAGAATGATATTCAGTATTCATTCATTTTCGTATTATAAAGCCTAAATAATAAAAATATAAATTTGCTTTATGGCAACACGTTCATTACGCCTCAACAGATAAAAGTCAAAATATATCCATTAAGCATGTCAAACGATTCAAGCTAAGCTAGCTAGCTACCTGTAATGAACGCATTGGCTAGTCTTTGATTTTATGAAAAAAAATCTTTCTTTATTACTTCATTACCGTTCTATCTTTGCTGTCACGTTTTTTATACCCATCACCGAGGAATGGGGGATATAATCATTTTGTTAAAAGACTTGCAGCGCCTAGAAAGAAGCTCCAGGCACCGCATAAACTATACATATTCTTAATCATCATCAAATTTTGAATAGATTTAAGCATGTCCGTCTGTCCGATTGTCTGTTATAAACATTCTCTTAAACAATTTTAAACTTGTAATGCGCCCAAGCTTGTCCGTCTGCCCAACAGCGTAACATTTGTTATAAACATTGTCACGTCTGCAAAAACGAAAATATTGCCTCACAAATTTACAGAAGAATTTGCAAGTACCCTAAACTTTTCAAAGGAAATGCCTGCAGCCCCCCGGCGCCTATCCGATAAAAATGTTTATTCTATAAATAAAAAAAAATCAGCTTCGCCCACAACACATTTTAGGGCATGAAAATGTGCTTCTCCTACTTGTTTGGTCTCTTTAGGACAGCGGTGATGGGTATAAAAGATTCGATCACGAACAACTATAATTTTTTTACTTGTTTTTCTTGTTTTTATGCCTTTGGCTTGCATGCCTGTGTTTTTGTGCCATTCGGTTTGGCAGTTCGTGTTTTCAACTAATATAAGAGGGTTTAAAATTCCCACAAATATCTCGTACATTTTGCAATCGACTGATTAAACTCAAGATACCGTTTCGTTCTCTTATGATATTTACAATTTTAACGTTCGCATTAGAAGTTTTATAGATTTGCGAGCATTGATTATTTGATAAATATTTCGTTAAAAGAGAAGAAGACTTCATCATTTCACATTATTTGTTTAGTTAAATTCTTAAATTAAAAGCTTAGTTCGACGTGTCTAATTATACCCTATACCCTTTTCGGAACGGGGTATACTAAGTTAGTGCGGTAATTTTTACTTACGTAATACGTAAGTTTTTACTTATTGTGGAATCGATGTGGAACGATGGATTAAATCGACGGAATATTATGCATTGATCGACAATAGAAATACTTTGCGTAATTGAATTGTTTGCGCAAAAACTGATACGTACTATACGGCAATAAGTATAAATGATTTGTTGTTTGTTAATTATTTTTGTTCTAAGTTTATAAAGTTATCAATAAAATGTGTAATCAAACTCTGCAACTTGTTATCCGCCAATTTTTTCTCCAAATCTTTTTCAATTTTCGTTACATATAATAATGGTACATATACCTCTCAAGTCCATTTTCAAAAGCGACCTATTAAAAATAAAAACCACCTTCAAGCTATGTCAAATTTTTTATCCAGAATCTGCATATCTCACGAAATATAGGTGTTACCGGAATAAAAAATAAGTAAGAATGCTACAGTCTGGCATTAGATACCCAACATCACTTCGCTTAATTAATAATACACCAAATTTATACATTATTTTTATGTAAATGCATAAAATGCATTAAAGCCCTCACATTGGCTGATATTCAAACGGCAAACGTGCTCTTAATTTATGTATAAAACATTGTAATATTTCCCATTTATACGTTATAGGGGTGTGGTCCCGTCGCTTACAATAGCATTCTTCTTCAGGCGAAAACATGTCAGTATGCTAAATGTCATCAAAATATTTCGAAAATTGCGATCTGTAGGTTGCACACAAGAATCCATGGACAGACGTCAGACAGACTGACTGACAGCACACTAAAAGGCGAATCTATCTCAAGTCCTTCCGGATGCTTCAAACGTCAGCATACACTTAAAATGCTCTACACCGCAAGTGATACAGGATATGATTAACATCCGCTCATTCTGCTTTCGTGATTAAAACAAAGGAATCTACGCGAAAACTTGATCAATTAAACTTAAATCTCATCTACATGAACTATCGAGATAAGTGGAAGGCTTCAATTCAAATCATTCGTATGCTGAAGGAACGCCGCAAGATAACTTTTCAAAGAGATTAAATAGATTTAATGCAAAATGAAAATGCAATCAAATGAATTGCATTGAAATTCTTTTTTTTTTTCTGGTTTCCCGTTTAGCTCATGGCCTAAACATGATGCTAGCAAGCCAC